GCTGTTAAGTTTAAAGTGACTGTGAAAATTCTGTGAACTAAAAAGTTGTATCAAGAAAGAATAAACTAGTTTTAATCAAGAAGAGACTTGTATCGCTGAAGTTCCCCGGAAAGAAATTATACCGGAAATTGACAAACAAGCAAATAGGCAACAATATGTAGTATTTGTAATTCCAAACAGTAACATTCAAATATCATAACATAGAAGACAAGGAGTACATACTATTTCTGAATAAAATTCGAAATATTTTAAAGTGAAAACTCAAGACAAAAAAATGAAAAAAATGTTCTGTAAGTTATGGAATTTTTTCCAAATCTCTTAAAATTGGAAACAGGAGAAATTTCGTTGGTCTTTTTTTTTTCATTATATTGTTTCAGTTACAGATTAGATCTTTTTACACGTAAACTTCATAGATTAACCCAATTTCTTAGATCAAACAACAATTATAAATTTAAATCATCTCTTCTTAGAAGTAGTGTTACATTAATTTATTTTAAAGTGTTGAAGTATTGTGGATCACAAAACCACTTTTGATACGTTAGGTAAAGCAGAAAATGACGAGAAAATAAATTTCAAATATTTAAAATATTTTGTCGCTACTAGACGTCTCTACGATGACTACCACTACAACTTCTCAACCACCAGTAATCGGTCCTTTTGATTGTCCTGAACCATATGGCCTCTTCAGAGACCCATATAACTGTGAGAGATTCTACCACTGTTCACATGGTATTCCTTACCGAAAATGGTGCCCTGCTAACCTTCATTTTAATGAACACCTTAAAGTCTGTGATTGGCCAGGGAATGCTTGCTGTGGTAGGTGATAACTAGGGTTTTATTGTTGATATAAAACAATTTTGATAAGATATTCTATTACCAGTGAATGTTGTTTTGTTGAAAAAAAATTAAAATAGCAGATTGATAATTAAAGAGGAAAGATTTAAGCAAAAAGAGACAAAATATTATTTTATTATTTTTAAATAGATTTTTGAGAACATCATTTTTTCTAAAGTAAAAGTATTTGAAAAAGAATATCAAGTAAACCTAAAAACTAAATATTTATATTGCTTAATAAGTCTTTAGTCCATTTGATGTTCATCTCATAGAATTTCCTCTTTATTTTTATTATACTTTTCCTGAATTTCCAGTTTATCTTTATTAAACTTTTTTCTTCTATATAACTTAGAGAAAAACAAGCCCTGTCCAAAACCGACTCCCGAGCCCACACAACCCGACAAAGGATGTGACTGTGAATGCTGTTTCTTCCCCGATGAGAAAGATTGTGCAGCTTACACGTATTGCGAGAAAGGAGTTCTTTACAGAAGACGATGCACAGACGGGCTTTATTTTAACCCTAAAATAGCAAATTGTGACCATAAAAGCAATGTCCAATGTGAGCTTGATCCAAAGTGTCCACAGCCCAATGGAAAGTTCCCAATTCCTGGTACCTCTGTCTATTACATTCTTTGTATTAACAACATTGCCAGGAGAGAAAAATGTCCAGAGGGACTTCAATTTGATCCTGTCACCATGTGCTGCACTTGGCCTGACACGTGTAACAGTAAGTGACTTATGTATTTATGTTAAGAATTACTGATTGTTTGTGTTTGAATTTTGCGCAAAGCACTTACTGCCACCTCTTAGGTTACTCTTTTACCAAAGGAAAACGGGATTGACTGTTATATTATAACGCACCCACGGCTAAAAGTGACAGGATTCGAACTCGCAACCCACAGATTCTGAATCGAGGATTCCAACCACTAGACCATGTAAGGCCTAAGATTATTGTGTCATAACATTTATTGATTGAAAATGCGTTGGATCCAACAAGGCTAAATAAAAAACTTTGGAACATGACAAATGATAAGGAAACAAGTAAAACACTGTACAAAAGATTATCTGTACACCATTCAGTCTCCCCACAGCTTTATGGTTTGTCCAAGCTACATAAACCTAACGGACCCATACGACCTATTGTATCTTACATACTTTTGCCAAACAACCAAAGTTATTTCTAGCGTGCTAGAACCTCTAACAATAGATCGGCTTAATCAATCAGAAACTTGCGAGAATTCGTTAACCACATCTCTGAACAAATAATATCCAAAAACGATATTATGGCTAGCCTCGACGTAGTTTCACTTTTCACTAAGATACCTGCTAAACATATCATGGAAATAATACACAAACGATTAAGTGACGACATCTCACTTCCAACAAGAACGCCCATTAGCAACCCAAACATCATGATCTTGCTGGACATCTGTCTCGATACAAATTACTTCCATTGTTTTTACAACATGTTAGACGGTACTCCAATGGGCTCACCTTTATCACCTGTAGTAGCAGCATTTTGAACACACCACATCTTCATCAACTTCGTTTATGGGTAAGGTATGTTGACGATACGTTTATTTTATGGACCCATGGAGAGAAAGGGCTCAGAACGTTTCATGCTCATCTGAACAGTCAGTTTGACAGCATACAATTTTCCATAGAACTTGCAGTCGATAACACTCTTCCATTCCTCGATGTTCTGTTTCACAAGGACACGAGTTTCGAGAAGTTGACCATTACCGTTTATTGGAAGAAGACTCAAACAAATAAATATCTGAATTTTCGCTCATGTCATACAATAGTTGTCAAAACACTAAAATCTAGAGCTACAAGTATATGCTCCAAGTACGTAAAACGTTACCTAGATGAAGAATTTAAACATCTTCAGAAGATGTTCAGGAATAAGGTTATCCAAATAAAACGATTCAACGTGTGTTATATGGTTCATCAGTTTCAATACTAGAGACCCACAACGAAAGGTAGGAGGCATTTCTTCCTTACATACTAGGCCTAGGAGAAAAACATCGTAGGATAATGAATAAACGTAACATCACTATAGTTTTCTTAAGTTCCTACACTACGCGACAGTCTTACGAAGGTAAAATCCCCACTTCTAGTCTTTTGACAAAGAACGTGGTTTACAGCACTTGGTGTGTGGGTGTAATAAACAATACATTGGGGGAAACATAACGCTCGTTATAGGTAAGGTTCAAAGAACACCAAAGAGGTATTAAGAACTGTGTTATAAACACATCAGCTATAGCTTTTCACGTTCAGGAAAACGACTATATAATAGACCTAAAAAATGCAAAAATAATAGACAGAGGAGAAAACACCAAACGTAGAAAAATTAAGAAAGTTATTTCTATCCAAGTACAAGACATTTAGACCTCTAATGGATATCAATCAAAACAACGACCAACAACTCAATACTGCATGGAGACCACTAACAAAAGACATAAAACTTATTATTTGTCATGATTTCGATGAAAAATTAAACCTTTAATTCTTACAATGTATTATTTGAAGTTGAAAAATTCTTATATTTTAGATTTCTCTATGTATTACCTATAATTGTATTTTCTTTATTTTTGTTATACCGAGGCAATCGATTAATATTCTGTATTCATCATAATTCTATATGTTTAATACCAGATGTCAGTTATTGCTACGACTGTTGCCTAGATACCTATTTTAAACCAATGTTCCACATTTTAACGAATTTTTATCGCTAAGTGCATTGTTGCCCGACAAAGACTCCAGTAAGAGAACCGAAAACTCGCAAATAAAAGTATTTTAACGTAGAGAAAAATCCGTGTATAATTCTATATATTAATTTACCTACATTATGAGTCTTAAACAGCATATAATTTTTGTATTGAAATGCATCATAAACTCCATGATTTTACACATGTGTATTGTTTTAGCAGCTTATGAAGAGAGCTTGTTTAGTAGGATCACATTTAGAGTAGTTGTTTTCATATTTATTTAAAAATTAAAAGCAGTTTAGATTTTTTAAAATTTTACCGCAATTTCCAATTCAATATTTGCATTTTCTTCTGCACACATTGGCTCATATTAACTCTGAAAATTGCATAAACACCCACAACGTCTAACATTATTGGTATAATAGGTGGACGTAAAACTATATTGGTGGAGTTCACAATATTTAAAAACATAATTAAGACAATATGACGCTTATAAAATAAATTCTTAAAAAATAGTTTGGCATTCACCAAAATGACTTTTGTATTATTTATACCGAAAACCAATAGTAAATAAGGTGCACCTAGGATTAACCCAGTTTTCTGTGTGATGAAATACCTCTTGTACGTTAAAGTTTAGCAATAGATTAAGAATGAAAAACTCACCTCCCTCTCAATGATAAAATTAATTATTAATCATGTTAATTATTTCAAAATAATGTTTATTTTTCTGGTAGAAACAGTTACTGGACTTAAGCCTTACCTACCCAAGAACGAATGTCCGTGTGATTGTTGTGCCATCCCTGATCCCAAAGATTGCACCAAGTTCATCCTCTGTATCAACGGTAATGCCATTAAACAAACCTGTGCTGATGGACTTCGCTTTAACCCGAAAATAGAAAACTGTGACTATGCCAGAAACGTGGACTGCGACCCTCCTTGCGACAAAGACTGTGATGAGAAACCAACTCAACCTCCTGGTATTCATTGCAAAAAACCGTCAGGTCTCTTCCCTCATCCTGATAAATGTAACCTGTTTATTCACTGCTCCCACGGTATCCCTCACGTCAAAAATTGTCCAAGTATTCTTCACTTTAACCCCAACCTTAGAGTTTGTGATTGGCCATGGAACGCTGGCTAAATGTAGGGGTAAATGAATATAGTCAGATATTCAGCGAAAGAATGAGTCTAATAATGTTCGTTATGACATTATGCCTCAAATTATTTTTCACACATGGATTTCCAAAGAAACACGTAAAGGTTTTCGACAATAAATAATAATTGAAGAAACGAAAACTCACCACAGCCAGCTTTTTCAGGCCAGTCACAGACCTTAAGTGTTGGGTTAAAGTACAGACCTCCTGGACAGACTTTGATATGAGGAACACCGTGACCACAGTGGATGAACTTTGTACAGTCTTTGTGTGGAAAAAGACCATTTGGTTCTGGACACACTCCTGGTTTTTCACAGTCAACATTTTCTTCTTTGTCACAATTCCCAGTCTTGGGGTTGAACATAAGTCCAGAAGAGCAACGTTCTCTATAAGCTTTACCATTTTCACATCGGGTGAAAACTGCACAATCTAGTTTGTCAGGAATGAGACAACTTTCACACACGTCACATGTTCCGTCCTTTGGAGGTTCTGGTGTCATACAAGGCTCTAAAAGATGGAAAAGGAAATCTACTTGTAATAGAGTAAAATAGACAATATAAATTGTATGTTTTTAACGGCTTCTTTACGGTTATCTTTCTTCTCGTATGTTCACAGGAAGTGTATTTTTAAGTTTATTTTATATGGTCTATACTTTTTTTTACACTATATGATCTGAATATAGCGAATGGTGCATGAAATACCTACTTATCTTAATCGAGTAAGATATAACGATACTGGTCACTTTATTGTACAAAGTTATGATAAAGAAATTTTCCCCATAAATTCAGGTTAAAAATATTTACCAGTAGAAGACATTATACGAATATTAAGCTGATAAATGTATTAAATTTTCAAAAGGTGAATATTCATACCATTGCAACAAGCAGTCTCCGGCCAATCACAAACTTTCAAAACTTTATTGAAATGTAATCCAGCTGGACAGTTCTTAACGTAAGGTCTCCAGTTGGCACAATGAATGAATCTGGTGCAATCGTTAGGGTGTGGGAAAAGACCAGATTTAGAATCACACTTAGAGTCAGGCTCTGGTTTATCGTCACAGTCTACGTTTTCTGCGAAGTCACAGTTGCTAATTTTAGGGTTGAAAAGAAGTCCATTTGTACATCTACCATGATATTTCTGATAGTTTTCACATCTTATATAAGCTGCACAGTCACCTGGCACCGGCTTTATACAGCAGTCACAGTCACATTCACCCTCTGGTGGTGGTTCTTTGTCACATGGCTTCCCTTCAGATAAAACATTTGAATTTATGAAACGCTCCTTAATTTGTGATGACGACTTGTAAAACAATATCATCTATGAATGTATGTCTTTTCCTTTAGTAACAAAACAATGCGAGTAATAACATGTAGACTAATCTCAATTTTGCAACTTCCTTAAAAGGTTTTCATCATACCAGTAACTCATAAACAAAGTGGTCTATCTAGATTTTTCTATTTTTACTTAATATGTTGCATAATTATACTTTCTTTGCTACTTTAATTGTATTATCAATTTACATTGCTACACTTACCACATCCTGTTGATTGAAAAGGTCGAATTTAAAATGTAACCATTATTGTTTAGGCTAAATAAGTAAAAAAACACAAGGATATATTATTGGGATAAATCTAAGCTTTCAGAATTCTTTATAAGCAATTGCAATAAGATAACATGAATTTTGTCATGCTTAGTAATATGACCAAGTACCATTCAGTTATCCTATGTTTTATGCTCTTCTCTCGAACTCTACTTTTTCTTCGCGGCGATTCAAATAGATGTATTTTACGTGCTAAAAGTTTCAAAAAGCTTCAACTCATTACAACCATTGTTACATCAAATAACATATTGTGAATTTCTTTTTTTTTATCTATATTGTTACATCTTGAAGTTACTGGGTATTATGTGTATTTCAGGTAGAAACAATCCCATTTCTCTGGGATGTGACTGGCTAAATGGGAAGAACCCTGAAAATCAATTAGGGGTCTAATGGCCACCAGATGGCACCAGTGAAGTATAAGATAGAGCCTCGGGGCCCAGGGGTCGAAGCTCCCGGATACCGAGAAATGTTAACAGTTTAACACCTTAAATGAGCACTATTTTGTGCATATCCTTACTACTTTGTGGAATATTATTTAGCTGTCTAACTTTTTAATTGTCTGTTTGATTGTTTGTTGTTAAAAACGAAACTACACAAAGGGCTATCTGTGCTCTGTCCACCACGGGTATCGAAACCCGGTTTCTAGCGTAAGTTCACAGACATACGCTGTAATACTGGAAGGCATTTTAATTGTCACTATAGCGATGAATAAACATACAGAAGATGTTGAATGATGTGTTTCTGTATTAAGTATAAACAAGAATACTGTCTATTACGTACAGAACTTAGTTTGTGATATTTATTACTTACACCAAAATATGCCCCCCCCCCCAGTGGCACAGCGGTATGTCTGCGGACTTACAACGCTAGAATCCGGGTTTCGATACCCGTGGTGGGCAGAGCACAGATAGCCCATTGTGTAGCTTTGTACTTAACCTCAAACAAACCAAAATATAATTCTCTAATTTATAAAAATGTTTAACAATCTCTCTTCTACATTCTCTAAAACTGTAAAAAAACAATTATAATAGAGTTGTATTGCAGTCTAGAAATGTATGGTAGAATAATGTTTGGGAGTGTATGAAAAGTTTAAATAGTCAGTTCCTTACCCGGTATTGATGGATCACAGCGAGCAACACAAGGCCAGTCGCAACGTTGCATAGCTTGACTCCAGTGGAGGTTGCCTGGACATTTCTTCAAGTAGCCATAACCATTAGAACAATGCCAGAAAGAACCACAATCTTCTTTATTTTCAAACATTCCATTGGGCTGTGGACAAATATATTTTATCTCTTTAGCACAGTCCCCATCCTTGGCGTAAACACAGTTTTCTTGAGTTGCATCAAAAACAAGGCCAGTGGAGCACTGTCCGTGGAAAGACTTACCAAACTCGCAACGATAGAACTTTGTGCAATCATTTTTGTCGGGAATAAGGCAGCAGTCACAGATACTGCAGTCTGGCCAGGGCTGTGGATCTGGTGGGATTGGTTTGGATGGATCTCCTAGAAAAGACAAATATCAGTTTCACTTGTAATGTAAAATACGATAAACTAAATTTGTTTATATGCATCAAGCCTACCCTAACTCCCACTACAAAACCTGGTGATTGTGACTGTGACGGCTGCTTCACACCTGACCCCACAGACTGTGCTTCTTACTATCGTTGTATAGATGGAATACGTGTTAAATACACGTGTTCTCCTGGCTTATACTTCAACAGACACACCAAGAAATGTGATTACAAAGATAATGTCAGTTGTTACAACTTTAAGTGTCCGAGCAGAAACGGGATGTTTAAGAACAAAAACGACTGTGGAATGTTCTGGCATTGTTCCAACTATATTCCATACCTGAAGGAGTGTCCGTCCAACCTACACTGGAGTGTGGAGAGACAAAGATGTGAATGGCCTTGTATCGCCAAGTGTGATCCTTCTGTTCCAAGTAGGTTTTCTATTGATACCTTAAGTAATCTGGAACATTCCTTCAGGGCTAGGGCAAATGAACTTTTCACACTGAACATTTTTAGGATAATCGCATACCTTGGTTTGTTTGTTAAAGTAAAGACCAGACTGGCAATATAGTAACTCTCGGTGACCATTACTACATCGATAATAGGCAGAGCAGTCATTCTCGTGAGGTGTCATGCATCCATCACAACCGCAGTCAGGCTGACCGACAGTTGTTGTGGTCGTTGTTGGCTCAGTTGGACAGGCTGCAAATGTGAAGACATTACACGTTATCATATATTATTGTGCTTTCATTTCATTAAGAACTGTTCACAACTTTGCATTTTATGTTCTCTATATAAAATAAACAAACCTATTATAATCCCATGAAGATGAGCTGTAGTAATAACGATTTGTTACGATATATAATACGTTCGTATAAAACAAGACTCAATTCAGTACTTTGATCAATACGCTACCGACACTTACGTTTGAAGACATTTGTTAACTCTTATGATATCCTTATATCAGACGGAAACGTAACTATTATTTTGCTTTACAATAATTGTTTATTCAATACTAAGGTCTTTTTATTAACAATAAACATTCTGTAAACTTGCAACAACTAGATAACATTCATTTATCACAGATAAAAAATATACATTCTATAGTAAGTCGTTAAGCTCATAGAACGTTTGAAAATATGATTTCTAATGAATAAGCAAATGTTACTCATTCGAAACCAAAGTATAATTATAAAATTTCAAGGAACATTATACTCACGTGGAACAGATGGATCACATTTGGCAAAACACGGCCAATCGCATCTCTTTGTCTTTTCATTCCAGTGTAATTTAGGATTACAGTCCTTAAGGTAAGGATATCCGTTATGGCATTGCCAAAAACTGCCACAGTCGTCATCGTTTTTTACAGATCTGTCTAGATTTGTCAAACGTCTGGCCTGATGGACATTTCTTGATGTAGGCGATGCCATTGATACATTCCACATATTTATTACAGTCCCCGGGGAAGATAAACTTCCCGTTAGGTTTTTCACAGATGGATGGATCTCCAATGTCTGGACAATCAACATTCTCCAGGTAATCACATACCTTGGTGTTCTTATTGAAAAACAGATCTGTCGGACAGAACTTCTTCTCTCGGACTCCGTTGTTACACTTGAAATAAGACCGACAGTCGAATGGATCTTCAGACACGCACATAGAACACGGACACCAGGGATCTACTGGTTTTAAAGTTGTAGTTGGTTCGCAGGCTGAGGAACAGAAAATGTGGTATAAACAAGATTTTAGTAAATACAGGCATGGGATAATTAAGAAGAACATTGTTGTCATATAATGTTACCAAATATGATTAAAAGAAGAAGAAAAAATCTCAAAATAAACTCTGTTAATGCTATTAATGTGTGTTGATAAAGAAAATGGATTCTTCATGTACAAAACTTTAATGTAGAAAGCTTTCAGATACGTTCCAGTTATTGTGATTTATATTAAAGTATTATGTCTTTTGGACACGTTCTTTTAATTTACAATTTTTAATTTTTTACGTATGTTAACAATAGCTATTTTCTAGAGGAAGCTACTTTGTGGTAATACCTTTGAGAGCATTATTCTTGTATTTATCTTCAAATTTCCAGCAAAAGCTGTATTCTAGCCTCTTGTCATCCTAATGTGGAATTGTAATCAGTACGACTAAGTTTGACGAAGGAAATGTTCACACTGTTCAATGTTTTAAACCGTAGATACTGTGCAACATTTTTTTTTTCTAAATACCCAAAGACCTACTTACTTGGAACTGAAGGATCACATTTAGCAAGGCAAGGCACGTCACACTTCTGTCTTTCTTCATTCCAATGTAGACCAGAAACACAGTCTTTCAAGTACGCAATTCCATTTGAACAATGCCAAAAGGTACCACAGTCAAATTCATTCTTAAACATTCCGTCTTTACTTGGACACACAAAGTGATTGCAGTCAACGTTCTTTGGGTGGTCACAGACTTTGGTGATTTTGTTGAAATACAAACCAGGACTGCAGTAAACGAGTTCTCTAGTTCCATCCTTACAGCGGTAGTAAGCTGAACAATCACTGGGGTGTGGCGTTACACAAGTAGTGCATCCACAGGGATTTGGAGATGTTTGAACGCTAGTGGACTCAGTTGGACAAGCTAGAAAAATGTGACGACATAGTTCGATTTAATATATATATATTTAGACAAAATATTATTGCAATACTGAAGTCAATTATATCTTTTAATACGCCAATCCAATTTGAATAGCAAAAAGCTGAAATATGTTTTTTCTAAGTTTCGACTTGTTGTTGCTAAACGCGTGAACATTGTACGTAAAGGAGACTTTTCTGAGAACTTTTGAAAAATGTAAAAAGATTTGTTGTTCCATTCTTTACATGTACATACATTACTATATTTATATCTAGTGACGACGGTTGTGGTAATTATGTAGTTAACATTGTACTAACTAGTTTTGAATTTGTTCTTTGTATTAAAATAATATTTCATTGTCACATTTTCTTCAACTTTTTTCTTTTATTTAACTTGGAATACGATTTATTTTAGATGAAGTGATATATTTGTTTTAATATATTAAAATGTAATTGATATTTCCTGAAACAACGCTCTAATTTTATTTATCTCATTTCACTTTTAATCGAAGGGAAATGGATTAGAGACCCAGTCTGTACCACTTTAGACGGTCTCTTTTCTAAGAAAGACGACTGTACCAAGTTCTACCACTGTACTAATGGTATCGCCTATCTGAAGGATTGTCCTGCATCTCTCTACTTTAACCCTCTTCTCAAAGTCTGTGATTGGCCAAGAAACGTCCATAATTGTGGAGTTGACCCAGGTAAAGCTCACTAACAAATTTCAAAGCCTTTGATTATGAGATAATGGGTGAATTTAAATAATAAACGATATTACCGTTTTGAAGTTAATGACAAAGAATTGGTAACTATTTGTATAGGAAACTAATTAGAAAAAAAGTTTTGGTGCTGAAAGAAGTTCGCACTATGTCAACAACAAAAAATTAAAAACACTAGTATAATAGCTGTGACCTCCAATAATTTACTTACCTGCTAGAGTACAATCACAGTTGTCAGGTAAGTCGCACACCATCTTAACAGGGTTAAACTTGAGACCAGTTGGACAAGTCTTTTTACAGGCTTTACCCTCAGTTGTACATTGGTAGAAGGCTCCGCAATCATGAGGATCAGCCACCCGGCATGCACAGGAAGGACATTTAATGTCGGGGTTAACGATACAGGTTGGGTCAGGATCTGGAACTTCAAGTTAATCATTCATCTAAGTATTATGTTTGTTATCCTGATTTTCGTATTACACTACTGATTTAACTTACTGGTATTATTCTAAATGATCAAATGGAAATTAAATTTTTACTCTTTTGTTTATTTTACCTGCAAATCATGTCAAGTTGTTTTATTAAAGTGTTACGATGCAACGAAAATAAATCTATTGTGCGAATATTCTAGCTTTTACTTGATCAAAAATAACGTTCTGTCCTTAAAGGTTTGTATCGTAATAACATTCTTGAATTTCTGAAGTTCAATATATTATCGTTTTCTTATAGTTATTTAACGGGACCGTCCACCATGCCTTTCTTGAGATGAAGAATCCTACATTGCAACAAACAAATTATCATCTGGGAATCACCCGTAGAATAATTACAAAAATGTTATTGTTTTCACTTCCTAATTAAAGAGTGCTCCTTTGATTCTATTACTGTACATTTTATTTTTTGAAATAAATAATTATGAATGCAACTGAAAATACATGCTTTGAAATTTAATCTCATGTTTCTTGGTTGTCTTGTACAGAAGTTTTAACGATCGTGAGTCCGTTACAGCCTTGAATTTTAAGTCGTAATAGAATGAAATTATTTAAATTTACGAACTTGTTCTAAGATCTTACAGTAGAATGTACTAGGTTCTTCGGTAAGTGAACGATAAGTTTACATATTTACAACGCTAAAATCCGGGATTGCACTGAGAAAACAACCATGTACCAGAAAAGTTTATTATTTAACTTTTTTCATGCTGTTGTTTGCATTTGTAAATTACTATTAAGTGGTCAAATATCTGATAGAAATATTGTAAAATATATATATTATAATTTCTAGTTAACTATTCAGACACTAAAACAAATAATTATGAACTCTAAGTTCATATTTGCAAGGCTAAAACAATTTTAGTCAGAAGATTAAAGCTTTTCTGAAAGCATTTCAGTTACAGACAGATTTCCACGTATTAATTTAATGACCAGTTTCCCAACGTTCTGTTGTCAAGTCACGTAAGTAGACTGCAAAATAAATTAATGAATTTGTAACTTAACACGCTTTCTTAGACTAAATAAAATGTCCTTTATTACATATAAATGTTTTGTAAAAGGGAATATATTACACACAATTTTCTGTAAACTAAAAAAAAAAAGTAAATAAATTTAGACTTTTAATTAACTCTATACTTTAGATCTTAGATGTACAAGAAACATTTTTTTTACTCTTACATTATTTACTTCATTTAAATGTGTGGTAGCATCTTTTTACTCGTAAAGAATTCCTCACCTCCAAAAATATCTAATTTTAAATAAACATTTTTATCACTTAAGCTAATGCCATCCTTAAATAATAATAATCTTAATTATTCCATCAAATTTAGGCCCGGCATGGCCAGGTGGTTAGGGCGCTCGACTCGCAATCTGTGGATCGCGGTTTCGAATCTCCGTCACACCAAACATGCTCGCCCGTTCAGCAGTGGGGGCGTTATTATGTGACGGTCAATCCCACTATTCGTTGGTAAAAGAGTAGCCCAAGAGTTGACGGTGGGTGGTAATGACTAGCTGCCTTCCCTCTAGTCTTACACTGCCAAATTATGGACGGTTAGCGCAGATAGCCCTCGTGTAGCTTTGCGCGAAATCCGTAACAAACAAACAAACCATCAAATTTATTTAATTCTATCTTTTAATGCCTATATAAACACGAATGCTACTACAAGAAAGCAGTTTAAAAGTATCGTTGGCCTTGGAATTTTTATTACGAATTACTGAGCTATAAAATTCCCATTCGCATTACACTTATACCTCAACATTCTTTCCTGCCAGTAATAATAATAATTTAAACCGAATGTAGTTACTTTTACAATGGTTTCACTATGGCAACACTTATACCTCAACATTCTTTCCTGCCAGTAATAATAATAATTTAAACCGAATGTAGTTACTTTTACAATGGTTTCACTATGGCAACACTTATACCTCAACATTCCTTCCTGCCAGTAATAATAATAATTTAAACCGAATGTAGTTACTT